GAGAAACTACAATACATTGTGTATAGAAAGAAATAGAAAAGGGGTATTTGAGTAAGATATATACAGATACATGCAGATATAGATCTTTCAATTGATAAATACCTGACTACTGGATTACTGCTCTAAGTTAAAAGTGAATTAAGAAATTAAAAAGGGGGCCTTTTTGTCTTTCCTTCTCTATTGGGGTGATATTTGAGGTTATAATTACTTTGATTAAGTGTTGTATATTGAACTAAGGAAATATAGTGATAAATAAGTTTTGATTACAATGTTAAGAGATTAAGGAGAATGTATATCTAGGTGATTATTATAAATAAAAGGAAAAAAGAATAAATTTAATACTTTGTGCATAAGGAAAGGCAGGAGGGCTTTGTCTGAGTAGGATATTGTTAGATATATAGTGATATTGACTTTCAGATAGAGAAAAGGATAACAAGTGGTGCTAATTCTATATAATTATAATAAAGAGATTTGAAAAGAAGAAGGAATAAATTGAAAGTAAGAGATTAATTGAAAATATATTGTAAAGGAGATAATAAAATAGGTAGAAATAAATAGAGTTTGAAAATAAGACAAGTGCCATGACATCAGCCTGGAGAACGGCAAAGAAGACAACATCTAGTCCAACATTGACAATTACATCACCTGCCAGTCAAAAGGCAATTGAAGGAATGTTAGGGGCAGAAAAACAAATTGTAGCCAATATGCAAACAATACAGGCTCCATTAATGACCATTCAAGAAACCATGCTTAAAATGCAAGGACAACAGATAAAAACGCAAGAGAATATTTCGCAAAATCATATGGAATTGAAAGGCAATATTAATAAATTAGAAAACAAAGTTGATACTATACAGCAAACAATGCAAAAGAATGAGCAGAAATTAGAAGAGGTGGAACTTAGAACAGTACAAAATGAAAAGAAACTGGAACTAATGGACAACAGGATGATGATAATAAATAAAAGATTAGAAGAACAGATTATCCACCTAGAGATGGATCATGCTGCCTATTACTTGAAGTTTCAAAATATCATTGAAAGTAGAGATGAAGATCTGAATGTGTTTATGGCAGAATTACTTGCACCAGCTTTACAAAGGGAGACCCGAGAGATCCTGCTAGAAATCGATGAGGCCAATAGAGTTTAAATGAGTTACGCTCAACGTAACAGGTTACCCAGGGAAGTCCACATGCGATTTGCCAGGAAACAAGTACATGACATAATATACAAGATAACACAAGATGAACCTTTGGTTTATAAAGATAAAGAAGTGCAAACCCTGAAGCAGGTTCCCAAGAAGGTGCGTGAAAAGAGAAAAGACTATAAGTTTTTGGCAACACAACTTATCCAGAAGAACATAATGTTTCGATGGTTAATTCCAGAAAGCTTGTTGGTAACTGGCAGGAAAATAGGATCAGGATAGATAACATAGGCAAGGCGCAAGATTTCTATGAGCAGATTGGAGCAACAGAAGAAGAAAGCAGTGGTAGAGAGGAGCTAGAGACAGAAAGCCAAGAAGAAGAAGAACAGCAAGGTATAGGAGGCCTAGAACAAGAAGGAGAGAACAAGGAGGAGACAGAAGGAAGAAGATTAAGAACACGCCTGCAAAGAGAGACTAGAATTAACAGAAGACAGATAATATCCCACAAGTAGAAAGACGGAAACGGAAACGAAGCTATTATCATTAAACATAAATGGTCTAAACTCATCCATTAAAAGGAAACAGATGCTATCTAAATTAGCCAAACAGAAATTAGAAATAGTATGCCTGCAAGAAGTTCATATTAAAAAACAATTCTGGAAATGTTTAGAATATCCTAAATTAGGAAGGTTATTTGTAGCCCTGGCAGATCAAAAACAGAAAGGGATAGCGGTATATGTTAAAAAAGAAATTAAGGCAGTAGAAAAATATGTAGACCCACAAGGGAGAATTTTGATACTTGAACTAGAATTAGGTTACAAGCCAATGTTATTAGTTACAGTTTATGCGCCGAATGACAACCAAAGTCAATTCTATAAGGATTTACATGACAGAATCGCTGAAATGGGACAAGATAATGTATGTATTGTGGGAGATCTTAATGTGGTAGTAGATATAAGGAAGGATTATTTTAGTAATGCAAAGAACAAAAAGAAAAGGAAAATTTTGCCCAGATCCTTTTTCAATATGACACAGGAACTAAATTTGATAGATCAATGGAGGAGAATAAATTGGGGAAAAAAGAATTTATGTTCTACTCTAACCCACACAAATCGCGGTCTAGATTAGACATGGCATGGATGAACGCAGAACTAGGAAACCAACTAGATTCGATAGAGATTATGACAAATGTATGGGCTGATCATAACCCATTAAAAATAACTTGGAAAGGAAGGGAAAAGGAAGAGTAGAAGGTGGATACTTAATCCCCAAATTTTCAAGGAGGAAGATTTGGTAGAGAAATTAAGAAAGAAATGGAACTTTTTTTAAGGAAAATACAGTGGAGCAAACATCATTACAGAATTTATGGGATACAGCAAAGGCAGTCTTGAGGGGGCTGGTAACAGCATATACAGCGAAAAGGAATAAGGAAAGATGGCAAAATCAGAATAAATTACAGGAGGAGATTAAAGACCTAGAAAGTAGAAAAAAACACAAGATGAAAAATTGAGGAGAGAGATTATTCTTACTAGGCATAAATTGAACATTATAAATCAGGAAGAGAGAGTTAAAGAGGTGAAAAGGGAAAAACAGAATTTTTTTGAACATGCAAATAAACCAGGGTGGTGGTCAGCCCATAAATTAAGATTAGAAAGAGAAAGAAGGTTGATACAAGAATTGGATGATGATGATGGAAAATTAGAATATCGAATGACTGAGAAAAAGAAAATAGTACAAAAATATTTTGAACAACTATATAGGGAGGATGGAATAAACCCTGAGAATATAGAACAATATTTGAAAAGGAAAGGTCTCCCAGAAATTAGAGAGGAACAGAAAGAGATATTAAATAAAGAAATAACAGTGATGGAATTGAAAAGGGAGGTTGAAAGGCAGAAAGATAATAAGATGCCAGGGCCAGATGGTCTTCCAGCGGAACTGTATAAATGTATTTATGAATGTCTTGAACCAGTGATGTTAGATGTGTACAATGAGGTATTAGACTTTGCTAAATTACCCAATTCATGGAGAGAAGCAAATATCTCACTAATTCCTAAAGAAGATTTAGATCACAAACGGATTAAAAATTATAGACCAATCTCACTCCTGAATGCAGATTATAAAATATTTGCAACAATAATGTCGGAAAGACTAAAAATTATATTAAATGAACTTATTCATATTGACCAGAACGGTTTTCTACTTTCTAGACAGATAAGGAACAATATAAGGATAGTATTAAACATATTAGAATACTATGAGGCCCACCCAGGAAAGCAGGCAGCGTTGATTTTCTTGGATGCTCAGAAGGCCTTTGACAATCTCAGCTGGCAGTTCTTGATCCAACAGGTTGAAAATATGGGATTTGGATCTAAATTCAAGACAACGATTGGCACAATTTATTTGAACCAAAAAGGTAGGGTAATTATAAATGGGGAGATTACTGAAAACTTTAAGATTATGAAAAGTGTTAGGCAGGGATGTCCAATGTCACCTCTGCTTTTTATCTTGACCATCGAAGTACTTTTAAATCAGATTAGACAAAGAAAGGAGATAATTGGACTGAAGAGCAAAAAAGAAGAACATAAAGTACAGGCGTTTGCGGATGACTTAGTGTTTTTGTGGAAGATCCAATGGAGTCAGGGACCTATCAAATTCAAGAATTAGAAGAAAATGGGGCGGTAGCAGGACTAAAAATTAATAAAGATAAAACAAAAGTAATAACCAAAAACTTGATAGAAAATCAAAAAAACAATTGGAAAGGAAATTGGGACTACAAAATGTCAAAAAACTTAAGTATCTAGGAATTTGGTTAACAGGAAGATGCTCTTCCGTAAAAGAGGATAATTATATGAAATTACTTTCACAGATAAAGAAAGATCTGGCCAATTGGGGAAAATTACAACTATCACTATTAGGCCAAATAGAGGCCATAAAAATGAACATACTACCGAAACTATTATACTGTTTTCAAACAATACCTATAAAATTGGATAAGAATTTTTTTCAGGAATTAGATAGGATGGTAATGAAATTTATATGGATGGGGAAAAAAGCACGAATAAAATTGAAAATGTTACATGATAGTAGAACCAGAGGCGTCCTTGGACTCCCAAAATGGGAAACATATTATCAAGCAGCAATTTTACTATGGGTTAAGGAGTGGATAAACTTAAAAAATAAAAGAATTTTGGTGATAGAAGGTCATGACCTCCAAGTTGGGTGGCATGCCTTTCTATGGGATAAAAAGAATAAGATCAACTCCTGTTTACATAGACATTTGATAAGGGACTCACTTTTACAAACATTAGAGAAAATTTAAAAAAAAAATTATTTGAAAAGACCAAACTGGATCTCATCTATGGAAGCTATATTATATCCAAATACAAGGGACATTAAAAAATGATTAGCTATGAAGAATTGATAGATGAACAGGGGGAATTAAAAACACTGGATAAACTAAAAGAATAAGAGATAATATTAGACTGGTGGGTATATTTGCAAATTCAAGCTAAATTTAAGAAAGATGTAAAGGAACTAGGGATAGATTAAAATTTACAAAAATTGGACCAAATCTTGACAGGCAAGAATATAAAATTTATAACATGAACATATAATTATTTACTGGAGTTAGAACTAGAGGAGGAAATTGTTAAGGGACCAATGATTGCCTGGGCGAGAAATGTGGGTCATAATATAAATTTGGATGAGTGGGAAAAGACTTGGACCGAGAACTGGAAGCTGACTTTGTCGACGGCATTCAAAGAAAATCAATATAAAATGTTTTGTAGATGGCACTTAGCGCTGGCATGACCGGCGAAAATGTATCCAACCTTGAAACCAGAATGCTGGAAGTGCAAACAAAAGAAAGGAACATTTTTCCATATGTGGTGGCAATGTATAGAGGTCAAAAAATACTGGAAGAAAATACAGAGATGGCTTTTTGAGATTACAAAATATAAATTGAATTTGGAACCTAAAACATTTTTATTAGGTATGATCAAAGGGAATTTGAGTAAAGATAAAAGATACCTTATTTGTACACATCTTAACTGCAGCAAGAATCATGTTAGCACAAAATTGGAAGAGTGATAAAATACCACCAGATGAAGTTTTGATTAAAAAAATAATGGACTGTGCTGAAATAGATAAATTCACGATGGAACTGAAAGGCAAAGAGGATCGAGAATACTATGTGACATGGGAGAGGTGGTACGAAGGGTGAAGATAAGGATAAAAATAATGTATAGTCACAAAATAAGAAACATGTATATACAATGACACAATAACTGTTAATGGAAATGAGATTTTTGTATTTTTTGTTTTTAAAGAATTAAAAATAAATAAAAAAAGGACGCTCCATTTACTCCAACAACTCCATCCTTGCTCCAACAAGGATCATGATATAATTTAGAGAGGAAGGTGCATATTTTCCATGCAAATGTCTCAAATTTAGTTCTTAGCATTATCAAGTAATGTAGGCTTCGAAAAGACTTTTACAAGATGTCTCTGCTTCCAAGGGCTGAACAAGATGAATCATGGTTTAAAGTGGAATAAAGTGGTTTTCCCAAATCATGGTTTAAAGTGGATAAAGTGGTTTTCCCATAGTAAAGTGTGTATTTTCCATGCAAATGTCTCAAATTTAGTCCTTAGCATTATCAATTAATGTAGGCTTTGAAAAGAGTTTTACAAGTTCTGCTTCCAAGGGCTGAATGAGATGAATCATGGGATAAAGTGGCTTTCCCATAGCTTCATAAAGAGGAGAAGGTAATGAAAGTGGGATAAATCAAGAATAGAAATGAGTATGTTCTTTCAGTTGGGGGGGAGGGCAGGGAAGGAGAGAGGAGCAGCTGTGGAGGTCATTTTGTGTGCTTTGAAGACTATAGGCATAATTTTAATGCTAAAATCAAAAGGGTTATGAACTCCACTGGGAAATGACCTCTTTCAAAAGGAGGTTTCTTTTTAAGCATGGCTTGCTGAACATTACAAAGGTCTTGGAAATGGCCAGAAACCTCTTTTTATAAATTTTTACCTCCTTGTCCTCTCTTGTTTTTCTGTAATTGTCTTTTTTCTACTCTGTAAGTCTACTATTACTTTTGGTTTATTTCCTTTATAATACTTCCCTGAGCATATGCTATAATTTTCCTCTCTTTTCTTTATCTCCTTGTTCGTACAAGCTGCCTTGAATAAAGAAGTCATTATCAGCAAGCCCACAATGAGACCAGACATCCACTTTCAAGATGTTGTATAGATGATATATTGATCAGTCCTCAATGAGTAATCATGTTCTAATGAAAAGAGTTTACAAGAGTTAATGTATCTGCTCATGCAAACCACAAACGAAGCTTTCCCTGGTACAAAAGATCTGGTTGTGTGAATTATAATTACTCTATATAACAGTAAAAGTCAGGAATGGTTTTATTTATTTATTGCAGCCAGTGCTAGTTGATGGCCTTTGTGTTGATTTTTTTTTTTAACAAACTAGTTTTCAAATTGTTTCCTTGCTTTTGGTTTTTCCACGCTGAGAATTAACTTTGAAACCGCCATCACTCCCCAGCAGGACATTGGAATTACAAACAATGAGGAGCAATCATCATCCTACACACTCATAGTCTCCTTCACAATGTCAATTCAGCAGAAGGTCGGACATGATGTCATCCTGTTGTGTGCCGCCTCATTTTTACCAGATCTCAGTGATGCATAAAGGTAAGATAAGCCACAGTGCAGCATCACCCAGGGCATTAACCCAAATGTTGTGAGAAACAACTGGGAGGAAAGCACGGGGGGGCGGGGGAATAACTGAATGACTAATTCTACCACATTGCTAATTAATCTTTCCTATGCTAAATTTTCTGTATGTGATCATTGTTTATATACAAATGAAAATGAAATTTTCCACTGCAAAATTATACAGAAATTATACAGAAATCATGAAACTAACTCCGGCTTACATTCGACAAGAGATACATAGGCTTAGGTTTGTCATCTTGGCTCCTGAAATGTACACTCCGGGCCAACTTGCTTAACTCTTCCAATAAGAATACAAATATCTGGGCTGCAATAATGCTGACAACTGGTAAAGGGCAGGAAAACATTAAACAGTTAACGGTGGCTCTTTGCTGACCTCTAGTAGTCAGTCACCTGGAATTCTGCAGCCTAGATCTCCCAGAGTTCTCATCAGATAAATGGGATGGGGCTAGACAAATACTATTTTCAATAGTATCCAAACTATTTTCAGTTTGCAATCAATATATCTTTACATAATTTAGGGTAGGGACTTGCTGATTCTCTTTCAATCAGCAATGAATGAGCAAGGAAGCGAATCTTTCACTGATAACATGAAAGTTGCAACATTATATAATTATATAATATCTCTTGAAAGTTTATCAACTTTCTGGGAATTGACTATTACATGTATTTATTATTAGACTTTTGTCCCACCTACTTGTCTTTATAAACTATTCATGTTTCAAATGCGTATTTTTCCCATGTTTTGATTATATTTCTTCATTGGTTTTAGAATCAATGTGCATTGGTTTTGTATCTGTGGGTTGCATGCATTTATCAGACTTCTCCAATCTGGTCTCCAAGTTATAGCTTTGACAACATTTCCCAAACTTTCTCTGCAGCAGAAATAGCAGAGGGAACCAAGTGGATAAAGACTGTAGCAGTCAGACATAAGAAGTGGGCTATCAGGTTTGCTAACTAATTATCTTAATATCTTAAGAATAGAAATTTAAGTTTGCTGGGGAATGTGCTTACAAGAAAGATAACAGATAACAGATAATCAGAGTTGGAAGGGACCTTGTAGGTCATCTAGTCCAATCCCCTGCACAAGCGGGAGACCCTACACCATTTCTGACAAATGGCAGACCAATCTCTTCTTGAAAGTCTCAAGTGAAGATGCTCCCACAACTTCCGAGGGCAAGCTGTTCATTGGTTGATTGTTCTCACTATCAGAAGAAGGGAGGAGTTGTAGTAGGCAGGATCAGATCATAGTAGGCATTAGGGACAGAGTTAGCGTTATGATTAGGATTAGAATCTTGTCATCCAAACAATAACAATAACATGGATGACCCATTCAAAACAGGAAAGTCTAAACATCTACATATCTAAAATTCTCCTAAAGGGTCATGATTTTATTGCCCATTGGAAACACAATAGGATGGAACAATGCAGTGGACCAGGGACTAGCAGTTTCAGAGGAAAGGAGGCATCAGACATTGGTAGAAAGACTAAACTATAGGGTTCCTGAAAGTGGCATTTCATTGGAGAAGGGACATGTAACATGCCCTCTGTTCTATACTGTCAGATGAGCATATTCAATCAGTACAAAGTGGCCTTGTAGGAAACTTTTTCTTGACTTTAATGCTAAGTTTGCCTGATGAAAAGGATTTTTTATTTATTGTTTAACAATATGTTTGTCCTAACCCTTATCAGACTTTGAACTGCAAATAAAAGACAAAAAAATTACGAAAGCAAAATTCAAAACCACTAAAAGCATCTATCACAAAAAATAAAAATTTCATTTTGAGCACCTACCCTCAAAAAGATTGCAGGTAAATTGGAGTAGTATAGATATTACTTGTTTGCAAAATGCAAGAAAAGGGCTGGGAGCACACATACCTCCCAAGGGTATCAGCCCTATAAGGTAGTCCAGACTAAGAAATTAATGCCATGTAGATCTAAAACTACTTTTATTGGAACAGCTAGAATAAGAGAATCTTGTAAATCTGAATGTGCTTCCTCCCTCCCCAATCTCTTCTTTATTTTTGTGTGAATTAGGGAGGGCTCTATCTAATATGTTTACTCAAATTAGTTTTCTGGAATGGGCATAACCTGCATTGTCTTTGTATTGGCTCTTCTGTCCTTCAAGGCCATTCCCTATGGCTTCTACAAGGGAAGACTGTTCGAAACACTGGATGTTACTATACAGGAGCCTTCACACTAACCCACAATTCATGTACCTTTCCAAAACAGTGGAATTCTCAAAAGGCTTTTCTAGATAGCTGAACCAGGTGGATATATTGAATTCTGACAAGATGTTACTTGATAGATCACTCTTTTTTAGCCAGTGACACTCTTTTCTTCATTATTCTCATTGTTGTTATTCATGCGTTGCTGATTTAAATGCTGTAAATTAAGGTATATGGGACTACTGTGTCCTAGTCACTGAGGTGAGCAACACTTTTGATAGGAGGCAGCAAAAACAAATTAAAAGGGAAGGTATTAAAATTACATTTTGGATATTACAGATATCAGTACAGGGCAAGTGTTTTTGTCAAATCATCTCCTGAGATTGCAAAGACTAGACCTTTTTTTTTTCTAAATTAATTTTTAATAATGTGTAATAATCTGAGTGGCACAAGTCTGAGCAGATTAGAATTCTTTTTTGATGGAAAAAGAAATATTTGTGCAGAGTTTTTATGAGCAAAGTTGACCTGAGGCTTCACAAAGCTGATTGAGAAAATACAGTCAATGCAGCTCTTTAACCCTTTCCTTGCCTTATTTTCTTCATGTTTCAGAATTCTAGTCATATGTGTACATTAAATGTTTAAGAAGAAGATAGACACACAGACTAATTAAAAATTCATTATTTTGTATATGATTCCAAAATATCAGCCTATGACGAGTAATTCTGTATGAATATTTCTGGAGTAATTTTGTATGTTTTTTCCCACAGTATAAAGCAGAGATATCCTCTAGATCAATGGCCCAGTTTGGATCGACTCTTGCCACTGGGCCATTCCTAGAAAAATAAGTTTTTGTAAAAAAATACTCTATAAATGGGATGGATTGGTTTTTCCCTGTGTTATTGCTTCCTAATCCTAGAACAAATTTGCATCTCCTTTTAAAAAATTAATGAATACAAAGGGAGACATTCATTAACAGAATGTATGATTCATCAAATCATTCACAATCATTTTAAGAATTAGCAACTGACCTGATCTTACCTTTTATCTATGCAATGGCATCTGATTGTTAGGCAGATTGAGAAGCTATCATGACCATGAGGAACTTGAAGCTACTTCTGTTTAAAAGTTGTGGCCTGCAGTCTCTGTTGTGTAATTTTAGGGACCTGTGGTCTTATATTGGGGCTATTTCATTGCTTAGAATGGAGGATGATTGTCTGATTAGTGCTGAATAAAAGTGCATTTGCCTCAGATCTAGGCAAGGAACAAAAGCTCATGAGCTGTTGTGAACCCTACGTGATTTAGAGTCATCTTCACATAAACTGAGGTCAGAGGTATTCAATTTCAGCCTCTTTAATTATCAAATAGAGTGACAACTCTGCATTGTCCCTGACTCCACAATATCAGAGTCAAAATAAGAAAACACAGTTCCACAAAAAATTCATTCTCTTTGGTAAGGCAATTCATGTAGCTACTGGGGGATGGATATACTGGAAAGGATGTCAACAAGTTAGCAAAACAAGAAAGGCAGAATGTAACAAAATGGAAACTTTCTCTGAGCTATATAGGCAATTGAAGGACCACTAGAACAGATAGTCAGACTTTGCTAAGTTTTTTACTGGTTTTTGTTGCATATTTCCATTAACCTGTACCAACCCACCAGCCTGCAATCTCAGCAGATATTCACTTTGCAAGTGTTTCTCATCTGGTTGAATATCTTGGGCAGGGATAGGAATGGGTCTCAAAACTTTCCCTGGTTTTCTGCTGTTAATGCTACTATTAATTAATCAATTAATTATTTCCAGTTACTTAAGGAGGATTGTACAAAGACTATGCTGCATAAAAAGTAAAATGACCAAGGGGACTGAATCTGAGCAGGTAATATGAAATCTCAAAGAAAAGTTCAGGCAGAAAAGTTGTAACATTAGCAGCATTGACTTCTTCAAACAGGACCCCTGAAGTTAAACCTAATTATCAACAACCTCAATATATTTTAATTAAAATAATTGAATAATTATATCTAGAATAATTAAAGACTAAATAACTAAACTATTTCCCAAAGAAAATAAGTTATGCAAACTCTAACATTATTAGCAATTGACGCTTATTTGCAGTTTGTAGATTTCTGCAAATCAACCTTATACTGACAACTACTCAATTGTCCCTTAAATGCCCTTATACTTGCCTGCATAATGCCACTAATTTTATTTTGTATATCTGTTTTAATGGGAAACCACAGGTCCTTTTTGAAAGGATCAGTTGAGAACACACCAAGAATTAATAAGGTAGAAGCAGACACTTCCATTTAAACATTAGCATTTTGATCTGGCTACTGATGCTGATGCTCTCCATTCAATTTGTATTTGATTCTTGGTGATTCTGTGAACCAGCTCTCCACATCTTCTGATCTTGTACAATGTATTTCAGTTGTTTTATGCTCCAGCTGATGTTGATGCTCTCTAGCCACCATGAATTTTGGAAGCCTTGTTTCAGAGATGGGCTGCACATACTGTAACAACCAGTTCGCCTAGTGCAGAACCGAAAATGTGAGCGCACGCACGCCATCCGTGTTTGCGCACGGCTGCAAAAACACAGGGATTTCCTGTGCATGGCAGCCACGATGAGTAGAGCGGATGAGGCGTGGAAATCAGCTGGGCTGTATGGGCAGGGTGAGCGATATATAGGACGGGATAGCACTGGGGTGGGTGGGAGCAGCCAGTGGTCGGAACTACTGGTACGGACAAGCCGGTCCAAACTGGCAGCAGCCCATTAATGCCTTGTTTCCTTTTACAGCTTGTCTCAAGTTTGACAGGAAGTCATGTCCAAGTCCCATTTTATAGGCCATAGGCAGATAGCAACAGTTAGCAAAAAGACTAAACAAGCACATAGATCACCAGGAAGCAAGAATGTTGGGGTGTATGAAAGTAAGATTACCAACCTTTACCCCGAACTATCCTTGAGTCCTTTCATTAGAAAATAAAATCAAATGACTCAGCCATAGATTGGGATAAGGCATACATCACCACAACTCTCCCACTTTCATGAGAGGAGGAGGAGGAAGAGGAAGAAAATGAAGGAGGAGGAGGAGGAGCACTTAAGCTAGTCTACCATGAAGGTTTACTCAGTAAGAGAGAAACCAAAAAGGACATGGCAAGGCAAAGTATTACATGGCCAGTATATATTTAAAAATAGCAGCCAAACAAGACCTGGCAGTGGCAAAGAGCAGGAAAATTAAAGAAAGAGACAGAGCCGCAAATTCTGGCAACCCAAGATCAAGGCAAATACTGAAAGAGGACTGGATAGCTGCATCCTTGGCTGATCCTCTCTCACAGCATTAAAAAGAAGGTGGGGAGTCTAGGGACCCAGGAAAGAAAGATGAGATGGTGGGGAATATCGCCCCTTTATTTATAGGCAGAATGATAAGTAAATCTATCTTAATGTACAGCTGCTGTCTTCCTCCATTTTATGCTAGTCTCAGAAAAAATCTGCAGCAGAGCCAACACTTAGGCCTTCCCTTAGGACTTCAAAGGCAAATAATTTGTAATACTCACACCCATCCTCAGAAAAGTCACTAATGCCAAAATATAACATTGACTTGAGAAAAAAATCTTATAAAAATAAATAACTTTAAAAGAAAAGAAAAAAATAAAAGTCCAGCTTCTCTTTTTTGTGTCATTGTTCTGTGCATGACTTCTGATTGGATGGATTATGTATTTATTTAGGTAGGTTTATATGCTGCTTCAGTCATGACTGACTCTAAGTGGCTTACCGAGCTCCAAATAATAATAGGATTAAAAGCAATATTCAGCAATAAAAAATAAAGTACCCAGATGCTGAGGAATAGCCATAAACGTATAAACATTCACC